TATATGTATGTGTATATATATATATATATATTTACATTTTCACCAGTGCATCTAAAACAACATGGAAGTTGGAAGATAGAAGGGCTCGGCTAATCCTGGCCCCTTACTTGACAGCCATGGAATTGGTCATCAGTGTCCTCTCCTAGAACCTGAGAAGGCAGCTTTGAATCCAGGAAAGACATGTAAACCACAGGGTGGTTTCCACAAACATCAGCTCTCCTGGAGCCTTCAAGGGCCTCACCCCACAGTAACACACAGGTGATATGAGGCCTTTGGGAAGGACAGAAACCTGGGTGAGGCTGTCAGGACAGTTAATATTTCCATCTTCCTCCTTTCCCTGCAGTGGAAGCTACTTACATTTTAGTCTAATGTTGACCCTGGAGACAAAGTCTGTGACTGGAGTTTCCCTAATCTCATAACTAAATTTCAGCTTCCTTTATCAGAGGAACTCTATGCAGTCAAGCCAGAGACTCAGAACGTATACCTGCACCTCTTTCTCTCTGGGCCCCTCCACTCCAGCCTGCAACCACAAGCCAGAGACTGCAAGTAGAAGGCTGTCATCAGTTCTACCCTGCCACCACCCAAAAGGAATGAAATAGCCCAGGCGGCAGTGGCTCACACCTGTAATCCTAGCTACTCAGGAGGCTGAGACCTGAGGATTGCAGCTCAAAGCCAGCCCCAGCAGGAAAGTCTGCAAGACTCTTATCTCTAATAAATCACTCAGAAAACCAGAAGTGGCGCTGTGGCTCAATTGGTAGAGCGCTTGCCTTGAGCTGAAGAGCTGAGGGATAACACCCAGGCCCTGGGTTCAAGCCCCATGACTGACAAAAAAAGAAAGAAAATGTGATTACCAAGGGCTTATCCAACTTTCATTATAGATCAGTCCTGTTTACTAAATGCGGACTAGAACCTCACAGTTGAAATGGAAAAGGACACAATATTTGAGAACAGATTTATGTTGAGAACATGGGCTTATTGGGGTGCCAAGAACTGAATTCAAGCAACTGGATTCATCCCTTACGCCAAAACAGCCCTCAAACCCTAGGTTGTGTTGCTCTACCTAAGGATCCCAGCCACAGCTTTTGGGCTTGTTTCACATTACTGCCAATCCTCTTCAAGTGGTCATATAACAAAATCTATCTTCTTGAACTGAGCTACTTTTTTTTCTTTTTCTGTTTTGGTTGTTAGTCCTGGGGGTTGGATTCAGGGTCTGGGAGCTATCCCCAAGGTTTTTGTTTAGTTTTTTCTGCTCAAGGCTAGTTCTCTACCACTTGAACCACAGCTCTGCTCTGGCTTTTTTTTTTTTTTTTTTTTTGGTCTTGTGGCTAATTGGAGATGAGTCTTAGGAATTTTTCTGCCCAGGTTGGTTGCCTCAGATCTATCTCAGCCTCCTGAGTAGCTAGGATTTCTGGTATGAACTACTGACCTGGGCTTTCATTTATATCCCTTAAGTTGTTTCTCATAGCCAGAGCAGCTGGTAGACACTTGTGGTCCCAGCACTTGGAAAGCTGAGGTGGGATTGTGAATCTAAAGTTTTTGTCAGTGATGGAGCTTGAACTCAGGGCCTGGGCATTGTCCCTGAGCTCTGTCTTGCAAAGCTAGCATTCTACCACTTTGAGTCACAGCTCCATTTCCACTTTCTGAGTGGTCAATTGGAGATAAGTCTCACGGGGAATTTTCTGCCTGGGCTGACTTAAAACTGTGATCTTCAGATTCCCAGCTTCCTGAGCAGCTAGGAGTACAGACACGAGCCATGGGCACCCGACAACAAGGGTTTTGGTTTTTAGGGGGGGGCGAGGGCCGGGTTGTGGCAGAATAGAACCAAGTTACAATTTTGTTAGGAATGGGAGAATTGAAATTTGCCCTTAAATCCTACAACTTGACACAACTAGTTAAGTTTACTACTCCTAGACTCTTGCAATGTTTATTTTGTTGCTGCTTGAGCTGCCAAGAACTATATGAATGCCAAAGAGCATCTTGTTCCTGGACTGTTTTCCATTGGTCTCAGTGGCCAAGAAAACACACACAGTACTTCTGCCATGTCTGTTTCTGAGCACTCTGGTCTGGGAATGTTTTTCTGGAACGTTTTTTCCTAAAACATAAAAAAAAGGAACCATGGTCCATAACCCCTTCTATGCTGTGTACCTAATACATTCCCTACCACTTGTTCATGTGCGAAGACCTGTGGACAGAACCCTAAGCCACCCTGGGCTCACCATGGCCTCAGGCTCAGCCTTTGCCTTTCTAAGCCTCACCTCCCTCAACTGTGAAGTGAGAATGAGAAGATAATACAAACTTCCTAATATCTACCACGATCAAAAGGAACTAAAGGTTTTCTGACTAGTGGATGTACTTGCAGAGGAAAAAAAAACATCCTGTACCCAGACATTCTGTGTGTGAGTCTCACAAGTGTGTCTACACCTGGCGTCAGGATTTTTCAAGACATTTCTATTGTTCTTTTTCCAGTCATCAACCATAGTGCCTCAGACCATGTGCAGGGCATTGAAGCCCAGCCCCTATCACTGAAGGCTCATACTAAGTGAGGGAGACTCAAACACAGTAGATTTAAACCATGACTGGCGGCCAGTGGGAACCCAGAACAAGGGCTTCTGTCCTTTCCTCTCCTTGAATGCTTATACCCTTTAAGGTCTGACATTGGGTAAGATGAGGCAGCCTTTGAGGGACTTACAGCCTTGAGGTGGGAAGCTTCACAAATAGAGATGAAGACTCTAGAAGCCACTGACTTGCCCAAGATCTCTCAAGAGACAGAACCCAGAACTGGCCCTCCACAATACCAGGCCAGCTTCTCAGAACTTGAATCCAGTTTCAACCAAATAGAATCAAAAGTCCCTAGTTCTAGGAGCTGGGAAGGTGGCTCAGTGGTAGAGTGCTTGCCTTGCATGCATGAGGCCCTGGGTTTGATTCCTCAGCACCACATAAGCAGAAAAAAACAAAAGTGGGGCTGAGGCTCAGGTGGTAGAACGCTAGCCTTGAGCTGAAGAGCTGAGGGACAGCGACCAGGCCCAGAGTTCAGGCCCCATGACCGACAAAAAAAAAAAAGTCCCTAGTTCTTTCCAGTTCTGCTGTGTGACCTTATCCCCTCTCTGGCCTCAGTTTATTCATATAGCAAGGCTACAGGTCCCTACATTGTTTACTATGGTCCCAAACTCAGGCAGGCAGTACCTAAGAATGAGAAACTTGAGTACTGACCAGCAAAGCTGAAGTGGCTGTCAGCGCTTACTCTGTACTTGTTCCTCTCCTGAGAGCAAACCTTCCAGGCTGTCCTCTTCCTTTAGGAAGCCAGACATTAACCTGTGCTCCTGGAAGGGCAGCAACTCCTCATCACATGTGTGGCCAGATTTGCCCCTTGGGAAATAGAAATGAAGATTGAGTGAAGCAGAGGAGTTGCTGTTCCCAAGAGTGGGTCATGATATTTCCTGGGTCACCTAAGTGTTGCTACGCTCCTGTGAGGTATAACCAAAACACAGGGGTTTGCCCCAAATGGCATGGCTAGAAACAGCCTCCCAGAATTTATATTTTTCACCTCTTTGCCACCTGAAGGGACTCCAGCCCTCCTCCATTCTCAGGAGCCAGAATGGAAAAGATGCGGGGGAGGGGGGGTCAGATTAGATGCAAAACAGCATTTGGCACAGCAGTCTTCCTGCAAGGACCAGTGGGGGAGAGGCCTCTCAGCCCAACCCCTTAGAGCCTGAAGTCACCTGTCTTTTGTTGTTTTGTCTTGTTTTGCCAGTTCTGGGGCTTGAACTCTGGGCCTGAGTACTGTCCCTGAGCTTCTTTATGCTCAAGCACTCTACCACTTGAGCCACAGCGCCACTTCCAACTTTTTCTGTATATGTGGTACTGAGGGCTTCATGCATGCAAGGCAAGCACTCTACCACGAAGCCACCTTCCCAGCCCTTGTTGTTTTTTAAGTGTGTAATACCATCACAACCCAGCTGTGATATTAGCTGGGTCATCATGAAAGACACAAATTTTAAGTGAAGAATTGAGATCCTGTAACTTGACACTACCAGTTAAGTTCTTCCTAGATGCTGACTGTTTGTTATTACGTGAGCTGCCAAGAACCATATAAATGCCTAAGAGCTCTTTTCTCATCGGGAGACGAGAAGAACAAACCTCTAGAGAACACAGAGCAGGGTTGACATCCCAAGTCATCCACCGGAAATGTTGCCCTTTCCAGCCACCAATCCCTGCACTGAAGCAGGCAAGTGGCTTCAGCCAAATAGGCAGCTGGTGACCTCTGGTGGCCATTGGGAGCCAAGGCAGGAATGATGGAATGGGGCTTTAGGGTTGCTGAGACAGAGTTGGAACATGGGACTCCTAGCACCCTAGGCTGTTATACTGTACTTGCTAAGTAAGACAGTAAACATTCCTGACATTTCTCTTAGCCATGATGGACCCCAAGGACTACTTTGTTGTCATTTTTCAAAAGCCAGCTTCCACCCAACCCAGCAGGAAAAGGCTGGCTGTCAGCAGGGAGATGGTGTAGTATGAATTTCAGTTGCCAGCTGCAAAGGACAACAACCTGCTGGGCAAAAAAAGAACATGTATAAGAAATACTCAGAAAGGCAAGAGAGCCAGGTGCTGGTGGTTCACGCCTGTAATTCCAGCTACTCAGGAGGCTGGTGTCTGAAGATCACACAGTTCAAAGTCAATTCATAGGCTGGGCACTGGTGGCTTCTACCTGTAATCCTAGCTACTCGAGGCTGAGATTTGAGAATCATGGTTCGAAGCCAGCCCAGGCAGAAAAGTCCCCATGATAACTCTTATCTCCAGTTGACCATTCAAAAACTAAATGGAGCTGTGGCTCAAAGCTATCCTGTGCAAAAGAGCTCAGGGACAGTGCCCAGGCCCTGAGTTCAAGCTCCATGACCAACAAAAAAAAAGTTCAGGCAGAAAAGTCCATAAAGACTATCTCCAATTAACTAGCAAAATGCCTTGACTGGAAGTATAACTAAAGTGGTAGAGCACCAGCTGTAAGTGTAAAGGCCCAGACAGAGTGCAAAGTCCTGCAAATTATTCCAGTGATACAGAGACAGAGATAGAAGATGCGAACTAACGGGGTAGCATTGTGAAGGAAACAGAGCAACTTCAAGACATGCTCAAGATGCATTAGAAAGTTGCTCTGGCAAGGAAGGTACTAGGAGGAAGACAGTGGGGGTGGCAAGGAATATATAGCACAGCAGCCCCAAGAGTTTGGTGTCATTAAGGACACAGATCATAAACAGTGACATGATGGCCAAAGCTCAGGAGTCTGCCAGGCCAGGAGGGACCTGGAAACCAACACTGGATTTTGCCACTTAACTGACCTCTCCACAGGCATGTGCCAGCTAGAGAAAGGAGTCCTGGGCACCTGGCTCTTTTGAACTCTACCTCTTACCCATGTGTGGATGATGCCAATGTAACTAAATATCACTATCCCACAATACTATGAAATTTATGTAATCACTTAATTAAAAAAAAATAAAAAATGTTTGATGCCAAGGTTAAAGAATCTACAGACTCGGGCTGGGAAGGTGGCTCAGTGGTAGAGCGCTTGCCTTGCATGCCAGAGGCCCTGGGTTTGATTCCTCAGCACCACATAAGCAAAAAGAAAAAAACCGGAAGTGGCGCTGTGGCTCAAGTGGTAGAGTGCTAGCCTTGAGCTGAAGAGCTGAGGGACAGTGCCCAGGCCCAGAGTTCAGACCCCACGACCGGACCAAAAAAAAAGAATCTACAAACTCAAGCCTGGCCCTTGTGTTCTCCTCCCCGAGGCTCTGCCTCTGCAGGAAGAATGAGCCCCCATCTCAAGGCAGGCCTGGTATAGCAAGTACGTGGATGTCCTTCTGGTTTGTTAGTGATTCCCCCCTTGCCCTGACTGCCTCTTGGCTCCCTCCTCAACCTCAGTCTATCCTGGCTGCCTCAGCAGAAGGGCCCACTGTGTTGGTTTAGTCTCAGGACCAGACTGGTCCAAGGGTCACATTCATTCCTATGGCCCCAACAGCTGTTGACTTTTGTTGCCTCTGAGCCTTTCTTCATGCTGTTGCATGGTTAGAATGGAATAGCTCTTCTCCCTTGTCAAAGGCTGCTAGGCCCCAGCTCTATGCAGAAGGAAGGGACCAAGCCAGCCCTAAGGTCTCCCTCTGCCTCCAAACACTACCAAGAATAACAGACAGTATTACAATACAATCTTTTTCCACTTTGGGGAGAGGAAGTGAGGAGATACATTTGGATTTTAACCAAACAGGCCAGGACCTGCCAGGCCTTCTTTCATTAAATCTGGAAGCATCCCCTCCCCCTTCCCCATCCCCAGGTCCTGGATCCCTGTGGAGCAGAGGGAAATTGTTCCAGGTCTTCTTCAGGCTTTGTACCAGAGCTCTAGTTCAGGCGGAAAGTCGTGGCCCTAGCGCCAGAGCACAATCTTCCTGGCCTGGTCCACGCTCACAACGTGGCTCCCAGAGTAGCACCAGGCCACAGCATTCACAGCAGCACTGAGGAGAGGGAGGGCAGGCTTCAGTGGGGCAGCAGAAGCGGTCTACAGCCTGACCCTGTTCCTCATGTGGCCCTAGGCAGCCTGGGGATGCCTCATCAGTAAATAGGCCTCCGGGGTTGTGGTGAGGGGCAGAACTGAGTGCGAGTGGGAGGTTTGGGGACAAGTGCTAGGGACATGTCAGAATGTGGCATCAGCTTGGCAGGGCTGGGGCGCAGCAGATGGGGGGGGGTTAGCCATACTCACCAGTGGGGCCCCCGAAGGCTGCTCTCCAGTTTCCCTGTGTCAACATTCCAGATGTAGAGGGCGCCGTCCCAGGAGCCTGCCAGTGCATAGCTTCTGTCAGGGCTGCAGGGGCCACAACACAGCAAGAAAGGAATTCAGACGCTAGAACATACACATGTAAGAGCCAGACTGGCGAGGCATGCGCTCCAGGACACACCTGAACACGGCTTTGGTCCAGTCAGAACCGCATTTGAAGCCATCAGCTCTGAGGACAGATAAGGCCAGAGTTAGAATAGAGGTCACTGCCAGTCCTGCCACCAGCCAGGAGCTTCTAAGAGCCTCCTCTCTCTGCCAGAGAGAGATTCAGGTCTAGAGGGCCATCAAGGAGGGCCTTGTGCAGGATTTGAGGCCAGCTGCCCCAGCTGATACCTGAACACCTGTCGGATATTGCTAACACGCAGGTCGATCACCTTGAGTGTATCGTCTCGGGAACAGCTAAGCAGGTGCATTTGGTCATGGCTGAGGCTCAGGGAAGTAACCCGGCCCTGCACAGGGATGACCTGGGTACAGCTGGGTAACCTGAGGATGAGTAGAGAAGAGACAAGTAAGGAACAGCCTGCCTGCACCCCACACAAGAAAGACCTGGGCACAACTGCTACCCTAGCTGACAAAGTCCAGAGGCACCCCAGCCCCAGGCTGCTAGAGCTGGGGCTGACGGTGATTCTCCCTTCCCACTGTAGCCACGCCAGCCATTGAGGAACTTCACAGACTGAATGGGAGCCCTGGGAACCCTTGGGTCACTAAAATAAGCACTGAAAAAGACGTAGTGAAAAGCCTGTTATAACCATATGTCAGGGAACAGTCTCAAAGGCAATCAGTGAGGACCAGCCAGTGTGAGCCTACATGACTCAGGCAGTGGCTCTAGCTGTGCCATTGTAAACCAACCATGCCCAATGTTGGGCCTTTTGGTTTTGGTGGGAGTTTTTGCTTGTGGTTAAAAAGTAGCAATAAAAACCAGGCACCAGTGGCTCGTGCCTGTAATCCTACCTACCCAAGAGGCTGAGATCTAAGAATTATGATTCAAAGCCAGCCCAGGCAGGAAAATTTGTAAGACTCATCTCCACCAAAAAAGCCAGAGTTGGAGCTGTGGCTCAAGTAGTAGAATGCTAGCCTTGAGCAAAAAGCTCAGGGAAAGCACCCAGGTCCCAAGTTAAAGCCCCAGAACCAGCACCAAAAAACAGACAAACAAAAAGTAATAATAACAGCTGGGTGCTGGTGGCTTATGCCTGTAATCCAAACTGCTCCGGAAGTTGAGATCTGAGGATTGTGGTTTAAAGCCAGCCTAGGCAGGAAAGGCTATGAGACTTTTTTTTTCTTTTTGGTCAGTTGTAGGTCTTGAACTCAGGGTCTGGATGCTGTCCCCCAACTCTTTTGCTCCACACTTCCAGTTTTTGAGTGGTTTATTTGAGATAAGAGTCTCACGGGGATTTTTCTGCCTGGGCTGACTTTGAACCACAATCCTCAGATCTCAGCCTCCTGAGTAGCTATGAATACAGGCATGAGCCACCAGCACCCAGTTTGGGCTATGAGACCCTGATCTCCAATTCACCACCCAAAAAAGCCAAAGTAGGACCATTACTCAAGTGGTAAAGTGCTGCCCTTGAGCAAAAAAGCTCAGGGAAGTTTGGGAAGGTGGCTCAGTGGTAGAGTGCTTGTCTTGCATGCATGAGGCTCTAAGTTCAATTCCTCAGCACCACATAGGCAGAAAAAAGCTGGAGTGGGCGCTGTGGCTCAAGCAGTAGAGTGCTAGCCTTGAGCTGAAGAGCTGAGGGACAGCGCCCAGGCTGAGTTCAGGCCCCAAGACTGACAAAAAAGGGCTCAGGGACAGCAACCAGGCCAAGTTCAAGAACCACAACTGGCACAAAAAAAAAAAAAATAGTGGTACCCAAATGGGAAAAGGTGTTTGTCCATCATGACTATAAGGGTCAGGCAGAGTCCAGAGATGAATGAGAGCCACTAAGACAGTGAAACAGCTCCTCAGAAGTGCTGAATTCTCAAGAGACTATGACCAACAGAGGTCACAGCTGATACTGCCAGACTCTTGCACAGACCCTGCGCCATAACCTTTCCTGTCACAGCCGGAGAAAGGACAAAGAGCTCCTGGGCCCTGCCCCCAGATTTCCACCCACATCCACGCCTGTCACCTGCTGTCCCAGAACCGGATCTTCTGGTCATTGTGACCACTAATGATGATGTGGTCCCCGCATACCACGTCATTACAATAGGAAATGACATTGATTGTTCTTGAACCTGGGGACCAAGGGGCAGTGTCAGGAACTAGGCCATTGGACATATGGAGACACCAAGGTCCAGGAGGGATGATGTCTTCCTAAGACTGGAACCCGAGTCTTTCCAACCGTGCTCACCCCACCTCTTCTGAACCTACTTGAAACCCATGGGCACTAGGAACCCAGGAAGAGCACCAGTGGGGGACAGAGAAAGAGAGCCTCAGGAGGCTTAACTCCTACAGATATGAATCCCAGAGCCATTCCCAGAGAGCATGGCAAAGCCGCTTGTGCCTGGGGGCTGGCCGGGAAAGCAAAGTGGGCTAGGCCTCACAGTAGGCACGGCCGAGGTCCCACTCCTTCACTGTTCGGTCTCGGCTCCCAGTCACCGCCTGGTGCTTCGTGAGCTTGAATTTTGCAGCTGTCACCTTGTCCTTGTGTCCAGATAGTGTCTCCTGCCCCGCCCCATCCCAAATATGGATCAAGGGCATGCCCAAGACTCCTTAACTGCATGCCCCACCCCCACTCCTAAGGCATGACCCTTGACCCCTAGTCAGCCTTCCCTGTCAATCCTCACCTTGGACTGTGCCTCTCCCACCTTCCAGAGCTGAGCCGCCTGGTTGTAAGTAGCTGCCAAAACCTGGGAGCCCTGGAGAGACAGGAGTAGGGATGGAAGAGGACCAGGGCCTAGGCCTAAACCTGGGCCTGAACTGAGCCTAGTCCTGGAATAGGCAAAGTCCCTAGACCAGCAACCTGGGTGGAGGCTGCCTCAGAGCTTCCCCTGGCCCAGGTTACCAAGACAGGTGGGAGAGCCCCAGGCCCAGGGAAGGGGCCACCCAAGGGCCCAGTTCTAGGATATGACAGCCCTCCAGGCCCCAGAGCCCCAGCCCAGGGTGGACAGTGGGGTGGGGTGGGGGGGATTCATGCCATGCCACTGGGTCAAAGTCTCCTCACTGAGGGGTCAAAGTCCACACTGGTGATGCTGCCACCAGCTCCTTCAAGTGTCTGTTTGGCCTCTAGGCGACCTGGGGAGAGCAGGAGAAGGAAAGAATGAAATGAAGTCACTAACCTGACAAAATAAACTAGAGCCAGAATGGGTAGGTCAGCCTTTCTTAGAGGACAGAATCACTAGGTCTGTTCCAGTGCCTGGGTAGAAGCGATACCTCCCCTAACTTTTAGCAGAGGTCCCAGGGCAAGCGAGGCCACTCAGAGGCAGGGCTAGGGAGGACCAATGAGAAGGAACTATCCCAAGGTCACATAGCGGTGAGGCCAGCCTGCTGGAGACCTATCTCTTCTAAGAAGCCTAGATGAGTATCTAACTTACGACCTACAAAGCAGAGCTGGTACAACAAGGGGGCGTGTGTGTGTGTGTGTGTGTGTGTGTACCACTAAGGCCCCTCCTGTGCCACCTCAGCTCACTGATTTCTGGGAGCTTAAGTGATACTAGAAAAGGAGGGGGCCTGGTGGGCCCAGGGACAATACCTCAAAAGCCTGACACTACATTAATTCATGCCAGGGGGGTTCCAATAGGGACTTTCTAAGCTCAGCCCTCCCCATCCTGCAGGCCTGACCCAGGAGCTGAGAGGCTCAATGCTTCTTTGGAGCAATAAGCCAAGTCTCGGTGCCATTGCCCATGAACATTCCAGGTGAGGAAACAAAACGAGACCTTAGCTCATCCATGAGCAAGCTGAGGCTGGGGTCTGCAGAGAACATATGGGGTTGGCCTCCAGGAAAGGTCTTTACCTCCCACAACATTCCAGAGGTGGATAAGACGGTCATCCCCGCCAGTGGCCAGGAGGCTGCTGTTGGGGCCAAACTGAACAGCATTGATCTCAGAGAGGTGGGCATCCTGTGGGGAGAGGAGAGGTTAGTGTCCCTTGTCTTTTCCATGTGTGACTCTTCCTGTCTTCTCACAGACCACACCTCTGCTGTCTTGGATATCCCACCCCCTGGTCTCTGTCTAAACCTTGAATTTCAACCCTGGTCCCAGCAGGTCTTTTTATCTCTGCCTGGATCCCAGAGCACCTCCCACTGAGCCAAATCCCCTGCTGAGCAACTCTCCTCTCTCTCCTCTCCCATTATAAACACTGCAAAAGATATGAGCAGCTCATACCACCAGCTATAAAGGCAAAGTCTTGCCCCTGCTGAGGCCCAGCCTTGCTTCTATGGCTCTAAGGGCCATCCCTGGAACCTGCATTCCTCTATTAGAATCCCAAGCATGTGGCCCAGCTGTTGTCTTACCAGGACATCCTGAACCTGGGTAGGAAGTCGGGCAGCTACACACACAGGTATGCTTTGGTATAGCTGCTCAGGGGCCCCTCCAACTGAGTGACCTCTCCTCTTCTTGAAGCTGCAGGGGTGTAAGGGGGGATGAGGGGGATCAGAAAGGCACTCTGCAAGATCTTCTGCCACAGGGCCCCAAGCTCCCCTGAGGCAGCAACAACTGGAAACAGATATGGCAGCTGACAGATCATGGCCCTAAGGTGCTGATGCGGAAGTAGTACACAGCCTGGCACAGGAGTAGGAAAGGGTTAGTGGAAGCAGAGGACTCTCAAGGCCTCACCACCGTTTGGCTCTGTGATACTGAACAAATCTTAGGCATTTCTGAGCACTAGTTTCCAAACCGAGTGAACATTTTCATCCAGCAACAGGCAGGAACTCTTGGTTCCCTGAGAGGACCTTGAATAAGGACAGAGCCTTGTGAGCTAGGCAGGAGTTAGACATGAGGCTGCATACTTGGTTCCTATCTCCAGAACCCAACAGAGATTCACACACACAGACAACAGGCATCATATGATAGACAGACGGAGGTACACACACAGACCAAGCCTGGGCTCAGGAAGCCTGACATACCCAAACCCTTCACACACATGTGCACATACACACTTACTCCAGCAGCCCCTTCACCACATCCACACAGCGGGACAGTGTCAGGGAGGTGGCCGAGGCAGACCTGAGGCAAATGAGAGACTGCTAAAGGCCTGGCCAGTGGGTACTCAAGCAGCAGTCATTCATCCCGGGAGACTTGGAGGCCTGTGACTTCTTGAGCCTGGAACCAAGAACTTGACCCCTTGTAAACCAGGAGAGGTGAGACCTGGACCAACCCAACAAGGTCGAAGGACCTGGAAATGGGTAACTCCCCAAGTTTCCACCATGATGACAAGAAGTGCCGCACCCTAAGTAAGACGTTACCACCAATAAAAACTCCTAAGAAGGGCTGGGAATGTGGCTTGGTGGTACAGTGCTTGCTTGTATGCATGAAGCTCTTGATTCAATTCCTCAGTCCCATATAAACAGAAAAAGCCAGAAGTGGCGCTGTGGCTCAAGTGGTAGAAAGCTAGCCTTGAGCAAAAGAAGCTCAGGGACAGTGCCTAGGCCCTAAGTTCAAGCCCCAGGATTGGCCAAAAACAAAAACCTCCTAAGAGACTGGGCCAACCACTAAGAGGAAAAAGAGAAGGGCTCTCCTGGCTGGAGCAGAAGCCCCAGCTCACCTAGCAGCCCTAGAAATGCCCAAGTAAGGTTTTAGATGGCAAAAAAACTTTGGGAACCAAGTCTTATTATGCTTCTGCCCAAGGTTCCTTCAGCATCTCAGGGCCTGGACCCTGGGACTTACAAGAAGAGCCTTCAGGCTAGGGAATGGGGCCCAAAGGGGCAGCTTTAATGGCAGGCAAATCAAGGTCAGGGGGACTGAATGGAGGGGCACCCAAGGACTCAGAAGTGTGAGCTCACCACTACACATTCTCCCATGTCCATGCACACCTGTGCTTACAAACACACATGCCTGTGACCCTGATTCCTTCCTAGTATCACCTCTTCACAAGCCTTATGCCCCACCTCAGAGCTCAGGTCCTGGGAAGGAAAAGGGAGAGGGCTCAGTGACACTGACCCCAACTGGCTCCAGGCACTGGAAGTCGTACCAGTCAGCCCCTCCCCAACATTTCCCCAACCCAACAGCAGGCCCCAAGATCCTAGAGGAAGACTGGCAGTTTCAGAGCTCTGGGACAACGGCCACCTGGATTCTCACCTGAAGGGCCTCTTCCATTTTTCACAAGCCTCCCTCTCCAGGGACTCAGGCTCAACTGCCTGAGTCTCAGTCTCCTGTCTGATTCCATCTCTAGAGGTGTCTGGGCTCCTGAGAAAGAAAATGAAGCTCAGGAAGGACAAAGCATCCCGCCAGCCCTCCTCCCTACCCTGGTATAGGTCAGGGAAGGTGTGAGTGTCCAATATGGGGGTGCCCAGTAGGCCAGGCAAGCTGGCTCTTACGACCACACATCTCCACTCGGGTACATGGATAGCAAGGGCCAGGGAGAAGGGAGGAGAGCAGCATAGTTCCCCTTACAAGGGTCAGACGGGCCCCTCCTCATTCTTACTTGCTGATGCTCACAGTCCTCTTGGCAGCCTTCTTCAGCTCCTGGGACACCCGTGCCTGGTGGGCTCTGGCAGAGAGAAAACCATCCCAAAGGCCGAAAGGGACTCAATGAAGTGGACTCGAGATGGCCACGCCTCCCCTCCTTAAGGCCAGGGAGAAGCCAGACTCCTCCCACAAGGAGCAGGCCTGCCCCTAGGAGGCGGGGCCCCAGCTCCCTCACCGCTCCCGGCGTTCGTTGCGCAGGTTGCGCTCAGCTGCCGCACGCGCCTTGCGCTGCACAAGCCTCTCCAGTAGGTCGCGCGCCTCCTCCTGGAGCCTGCGCAGTGCCGCCTCCTGTTGCTCCGAGTGCGCACGCAGGGCCTCGTAGGCCGATCGCAGCGCTGCGTTCTGGGCACGTTGATCCTCCACCTTCAGGGCGTGTTGCGCCCGAGCCTCCTGCAGCAGCTCCACGCGGGCCTCCAGAGCCGCCAGCCTAGGGGCAGGGGCGGGGATCGGGGTAGGGGAGCGGAGGGACCTCAGAAGAACAGCGATCCGTCCCAACTAAGATCCCAGAACTGCATGGTTCTCATGGCCAGCAGGTAGTAAAGGGTGATTCCAGCCCACCCTGGCTTCCACTGACCTTACCCACATGCCTGGGGAGCATCTGGGGATGTGGGGCAAGTCCTTAGGCACACACTATACCCTCTCCCGGGGCAGGATGGCCCTGAGCCTCCCAAAAGTGAGCTGCCCCGGCCCCCTCACCTGCCCTGCCGCTCCTCCAGCTCTGACTGCATGGTGCCTAGCGCTGCACTCTTCTGCACCACCTGGTAGGCCATCTGGGGAGGTGGAAGGGCCGACAGGTGAACTCTGGCGCCTCTGTAGCGCTCACTCTAGCCCTTGGGGCCCGAAGAGGTTGGCAGCACTGAGCCTGCCACCCTACCCCTGCCATCCTCTTGATGACAAGCTGAGACTCCCATGGGTTTAAGATACTGCATAAGGGTTTGGGATCTACATCTGAAGTCTGCTTTCTGCATTCTGAGTTGTAATGGTGCCAATTGTTTTCTCTGTGACCATGGGGGGAGTTATTTAATCTCTGAGCAAGAATTCTCACCTGGAAACTGGGAATGAGTGCTTATTACTTCCTAGAGCTATTATGAGAAAGGATGTGTCAGATAGGAGGAAGTGCTCATCTAGCACTTATAAGTGCCATGCTTTGTTCTGAGCACTCTAAACACATTAACTCTTTTAACCCCCAAAATAGCATAAAGGGAAGCACTACCATTCTCATTTTACAGGTAAGGACACCGACACAGAGATTAAGTACCTTGCCCAGACTCACACAGCTAAGTGGCAGGGCTGATAAATGAGCCCAGGCCATGTAAATACATTATGCTTCATGTAAAGCACATGTGGTCTACAGGATGGGTTGGTGCTTGTGATCTCTACTCCCCACCTCTCCAGCTACTAGCTTCCTCCACTATCCCTGACCCCCTGTCTGCCCAGGCACAAATCTCACAAAGCAAGAGCACACAAAGTAAGAACAGGGATGGTCTTTGGGGGTGTAAAGTTCAGGCTGAATTCTGGAGCTGCTCCAACAGCCCCAGGGCTGGGTAAGGGGAATCTTTTCAACTTTCTTCAACCGAAAGCCAAGAACAGGGAAGACCATAAGGAAGAATTCCAACTTCTTTCTTTTGGTACTGTGGGAGAGAGAGACTCTAAGCCAAGGCTACACCCATTAGTGTGGAAAGAAGAACCAAGAGCTACAGACTAAACATCTCTAGCCCAGGAAATCACCAAGGCTGGAGGCTTTTGTTGCTAAATTGTTCCTGGCTCTTTGTCATGATAAGGCAGCTGCCCATCTATCTGGAGACTACTGTCCAGGCTTAGGGCTCGGGAGGCACCTGCACCTACAGAGTGGACACCTACTTTGTAGTTGCTCAAGTTATTACATTCATCATTCATTTCTCCACAAATTAATCCTTGCTTTCACTTCCTCACCTGACGTTTGCTTTCATTTATGCTATGTCATTCCATATTTATTTGATACTTTTCAAAATTCAAGTGATACATGTAGAAAACAATTTGAGACCACAAGAGGCTAGGGATGTTGGAGGAGGGAGGGAGTATGACTGAAAATGGGTGGGAAGAAGGTGATCTTGCGCATGACACAAATGTATGTATGAGATCATGCCACTCCACGGTCAAGTTGCAGCCATAGAAAGAAGCTCTGGGGAAGAGGCATTGAATGGAATTCATAACCTAGGTGATTTGGACAGCTGTAACTAGTCATGTATTTACTTGACCATTGGCCTCCTCTTGTGGAAACTCCCTAGGGGCACATCTTGTTTAAGGCCGCACTTCCCATTTTTCTTTGAAGCTATCAATTGTCAATAAACAATGAAAGAGTGAACAGAGATCATGGAAGGTGGATTGTAAGGGTGGAGGTTCAAATCCAGGTTCTTCCTGTCTAGGCCACAAGTTTTCTCCTCTACAACTATAAAGCTGAGGATAATTAGCTGAGAATATGCTTAGCCCCAGGCCTGCAGTCTACTTTTGGTGTGGTGTTGGCCATGTTATGGGGGAGGTGGTGACTTAGATGGTATGCTCAAGAAGCTGAACAAGAGTCCAGAGCTCAAAAGAGAAGACTGCACTGGATATGAGAGTCAGCAAAAAGAATCCCTAAAGTCCCCTATCACAGCCACTGAGCCCACCCATACCCAAGAACACCTGTTTGTAAGGGATGAAGCCAGAGAGGAGGGGAAGAAGGCACTGATGGAAATTCAGAAGCAACAGCCACAGAAATGAAAGGGAAACTGAGAAACACAGAGAAGGTCACTTGCCCAGGGACCACATGCCCAGTAGTCATTTAGTCTGCAAATGTGTCTCGAGCATCAGCTGCTTCTTGAACCCGGAATCAGCTTGGCAAGGAATGAGGTGGTGAGTCATAGAGTGAGCAGAACAGGCTAAACTATCTGAAATGAGGAACAGGCTCCGGGACACTTGTACTCCTTAGTCCCTTCAGCCATCCTTGGAGCCCACTTAATCCTAGGCTGCGGGAGAACTCTGACTCCTGCCCAGTTTCAAGCCAAGACCTGATATACACTAGGGAATCATAACTCAGTGCCTGCAGCACTAGATTCAAGAAATGTAGCAAATGTAGTGAGTGTGTACCACTCACTTGCTGGCTTCTTTGGACCATATCTCCCTGCCCCATTCTCTGAATGAGTACAGCTTACCTCACCACAGACCAGCTGGAGACCCTCTTCTTCCTCCTGCCACTTCAGCCTCAGAGCGGCTAGTGATGAGACTTGGTCTGAGTCAGGGCTTGACTCCTCCTCCCCGCCAACCTCCCTGTCAATCAGAGTGGTGCTCATAACTCCTCCACTCACCCCAGCACCCAAAGGCCCTCCCAGGGGTATTCCACTAAAAGCCTGAAGAGCCATTAACTTTTTCCTGGAGAACGCAGAGCCTTGAAGCCAAAGAAAAAGCAAGTCTCATCAATGAGCTGCCCATGACTTTTCTGCTGAAAGACTACTCTGACTGTAAGTTCCCTGGCCAAAGACCCACCTCAATAAGCACTGACCAGGAGCTGGGAATGTGGCTTGGTGGTACAGTGTTTGCCTAGCATGCATGAAGCTCTGGGTTCGCTTCCTTAGTACCACATTAAACAGAAAAAGGTGGAAGTGAGGCTATGGCTCAAGTGGTAGATTGCTAACCTTGAGCACAAAAGCTCAGGGACAGGGCTGGCAAAAAAAGAAGAAAGGAGAAAGAAGAAGAAGGAGGAGAAGGAGGAGAAAGAGAAGAAGAAGAAGAAGAAGAAGCATTACTAGCTGGACACCAGTGGCTCATGCCTGTAATCCTAGCTACTGAAGAGGCTGAGATCTGAGGATTGCAGTTCAAAGCCAGCCTGGGCAGAAAAGTCCACAAGACATTATCTCCAATAAACTACTCAGAAAATGCTGGAAGAGGCACTATGGCTCAAGTGGCAGAGTGCTAGCCTTGAACAAAAAGCTCAGGGACAGCAGTCAAGCCCTGAGTTCAAGCTCCAGGACTGGAAGAAGAAAAAAAAAAAAGAAGCAGCATCAACCACCTAGATGTGGTGATGCACACTGTAATCTGAAGACTTAGGAGGCAGAGGCAGAAGGATTGTGAATCTGAGGCCAGCCTGGACTATATAGTGAAACTTAGTCTCAAAAAAAAAACCCAACCCATTCCCTAGTTCTTAATATCTTCACTTATTTTTTTTTTGGTCAGTTGTGGGGCTTAACCTCTGGGCCTGGGCACTGTTGCAGAGCTCTTCAGCTCAAGGCTAGTGCTCTACCACTTTGAGCCACAGCACCACTTCCAGTTTTCTGGTGGTTAATTGGAGTCTAACAGACTTTCCTGCCTAGGCTGGCTTTGAACCATGATCCTCAAATGTCAGCCTCCTGAGTAGTTAGGATTACAGGTATGAGCCACCAGTGCCCAGCACTTCACTCATTCTTTTTTTTTTTTTTAAATTCGGTATATTTACTTATTTATTTTTGGTTGGTTGTGGGGCCTGAACTCTGGGCCTGGGTGCTGTCCCTCAGCTCTTCAAGGCTAGCACTCTACCACTTGAGCCACACAGCGCCACTTTCGGCTTTTTCTGTTTATGTGGTTCTGTGTTATGTGGGCCTGAGGCATGTAAGGCAAACATTCTACCACTGAGCCCCTTCCCAGCCCACATCACTCATTCTTTAAAACAGTAGCAAGACCCTTTCTGTAAGCATCAGGTCTAGTACAGAGAAGTGGGATAAGGCTAAGAAGGGAAAGAGGAGTGCAGGTTTGAGAGAGGAAGGAGAGGGGCAAATGCAAAGGAGAAGGATGGGAGAAAGCAGATGCTAAGCAACTGGCTTAGGAGGAGCTCAAGGGCTACCTCCCCTCACCCACTCCTGAGCAGTAGCAAGAGCCAAGAATGAACACAGAGCTCAAAGGCTCTCTCCCCTCACCCCCTCCTGGGCAGCAGCCAAGGGCCAAGAATGAACACAGCATAGGCAGCTGAACCAGGACCAAGCACAAGTACCCCATTGTGACCACTGATATATACACTCACCAGGAGCCCTGATGGGTACTAGGGGTGACGTCATTTGGTTGTGGCTGCAGCTTCTCTGAGAAGTTGGCTAATAGCTCGGCTTTCTCTAGGAGATGATTATCTGAGGGTACAAGAGGGTGGGCATGGGCAGAAGCAAACACTCTTTAGCAGAGCCCTGGCATACCTTTGACTGGAGGGCTTCAGGGCCCAGAGATGGTGAGAATGAGAGAGCTAGTGGGGGATTGGCTCTTGCTCCTTGCCTATGGGCTAAGTTGGCATCTCTAAGGGACCTTCAGCTCTGGCACTGCCTCTTCATAGCCCGGGTCCCTAGACCCACTCAGAAGAAGAGGGCTTGCTATCCCAGAAACAGAAGGACCACAGAACACAGGAGGGTCCTGAAGAAAGCTGGGGGACGGAGATAGACTCAACCCAGGTGAGGCAAGGCCTCACCTCCAGACCGCAGGGAAACAAAAGGATCCACTTGCCCAGGGCCTTCAGTAAGTCACTTCCTCCTGAGTGGCCTAATTTAGCAATAAAGTAATCCTAACTTCCCCAAGGTAAAGTCTTCTCAAGTCAGAGTAGAAAGTCCTTGAGCAATATCCAACAGATCTTGTTATGTTTGGTGGTTTGACCCTTGAATACCCCCCTCTCACCCCATCCACAGTTACTTCCTCCTTTCTTACAACTTCTACAGCAGGTTAAAGGGGTAAACCCAGACAGTTCATCAGCAATCTTCTCATAGGGTGGTACCTTGACTATCACCTTGCCTAAAGCCTGGTTCCCCCATAAATCTTCCTCCTTAGCAACCAAGACACTGCTTCCCCCTCCCACCTTGCAAATCTAAACAATTCCAATAATGCCTAATGGACAAGAAAGCTGAAGCTTGGGGCTATGAACTGCTCAGGTTCACAAAGATGCCTAGACCTTTGGTTAGTCTGGGTCTCTCCAAACCCTCAGACTTTCAGCTCCTAAAGATAGGGGCTTAGGGTGACTCCTCCCTCAAACTAGGTAGCTCTGTCCATCTCAAATAATGAAGCTGCCGCCTTGGAGGTGTGAGATTACAAACCCAAAAGGAGAGAACCAAACCCTGGAAGGCTGTAAAGAAATTTCTCAGGATAAGAGCAGATTTTTCAACTAGACACCGTTGGCTCACGCCTGTAATCCTAGCTACTCAAGAGACTGAGATCGAGGATCATGGTTCAAAGCCAGCCTGGGAAAGGAAAGTCTGTGAGACTCATCTCCAATTAACCACCAGAAACCCGGAAGTGGTGCTGTGGCTCAAGTGGTAGACTGCTAGCCTTGAGCTGAAGAGCTGAAGGACAGCACCCAGGCCCAGAGTTCAAGGTCCATGATGGGGGGAGGAGGGGGGTAGGGGGCAGATTTGGTTGTGGGGTAACATCAAAATTATTCCCCAGTAGGAAGCATCAGAGATTAGGTTAAACTTTAAACTCCAAACATACAATCTCAGGTGACTGGTGGCTCCACACACAGTTGCATACCTGTTTATCCCATTTTGAACCACCACACCCCTTCTTGGCAAACTCCCTCAGAAAGAACTATGAGAGGGAGAGCCTGACTTCCCAGATAAGTCAGATCCCCAGTGAAGCCTGGACCCCCTCAGGCTGGGGTATCCCCTAGTACAGAAGTGCTGCATGAACCTGCATCAACATCGGCAACCAATAGCAGACCCTGAAGCTCAGAGGTTCGCCCACAAGAATAGGCCCACGAGTGTCTGCTCCAGTCACCGCTAACTTCACGCAGGCCCTACCCTAGGGGCAAGGCAAAGAGGCACAAGAGATGCTGCAAAGCCCACACTAGGGAGCGAACTTGGGTCTAAGATGCTCAGCTCATAGGAGGAAGCACTGAACCCTGAGACTAAGTAGAAGAGTCTCTCCAGCCAAAAGGGGTTCTAAGCAGAGCCTGGGTTGGAAGGGGCAGCAATCATGGCCAGCAGGAAGTGAGGTCAAACAGATGGGCTCTAGGCCCAAGGCCTCGACAGCGAGAAGGCACTGGTGCACTTGGGTGGCAAGCCAAGTAATGGGACAAACCCTCTCCCCGAGCCCAGGCCCGCCAAGGAGCACTCACAGGCCGGCACCAGCTCCAGGAAGAGTGCCTTTTGCGTGCGGTCCCGATGCCGCAGCTGCCGCACGATGTGGCGTTTCCAGAGAGCTGCAGGGGCGCTGGGGTCGCTGCGCCCGGCCATGGCCGTAACCTCCCGCCCAAGCCTCAGGGCCGAGAAGGCGGGGCGGGGCGGGGCGGGGCCTCCGGGGGACTCCGTGACGTCACGAGCGGCGGCGGGGAAGCCCCGGGCGGCACCAAGAACACGCGGAGGTGGCGTGGGGCGGGGAAACACGTGGCGAAGAGCGGCCCCAGGGCCCGTGCCGCTGTGATTCCTCCAAAAGGTTTACCATGGGGGCTCGCCCTCCTGTTGCCATTATGGTTGCGAAGCGGGGACCAGAGCTGGAGCCCCTGGGAGCGGTTCCCCCCCCCGCCCGCCGATTGGTGCGCTCCAGAGGCGGGGCCTCGGGGTCCGCCTTCCTTAACCCCGCCGAGCGGGACTGGAATTCAAAAGCGCAGTTTCTAAGACCCGGAAGCCAGCAGCAAAGAGGCAAGGGAGGCTGAAGAAATCCCACTTTCCTCGGTGTATGAGAGGGGTTAGTAAGGTCCGGAGAAAGGAACGACTCTAGGCCGTGGTGGGAACGAATGCAGAAGTTCTGTGACATAAAAATTCCCAGGGGGCCTGGTGCTGGTGGCTCTTGCCCTGTAATTGTAGCAACCCAGGAGGTTAAGATCTAGTGAGCACCGGCCTTGAAGCAACAATATTAGCTCTTAGTTCAAGACCCGGTACTAGCACCAATAAGTAAATAAGAGAATTCCAGTACTCCAGAAGCTTAGGCAGAACCACCTTCACGCATTGCTGGAAGTTTCTCAAAAGCTAACAGTCACATAACCTTGTAATGAATTACAAGGTATATTCTCATAAGAATCAAAAGCAGGAACTACGAACACCCCTGTTATGGCAGCATTATTCACGATATACAAACGGTAGACGCTATATGCTTTTATCAACAGATGAATGGATAAAACTGAATACACAAAATGGAATATTATTCAGCCATTAAAAATAATGAAGTTGCCGGGCACTGGTGGCTCACGCCTGTAATCCTAGCTACTCAGGAGGCTGAGATCTGAGGATCACGGTTCAAAGCCAGCCCGGGCAGGAGAGACTGTGAGACTCCTATCTCCAATAAACCACCAGAAAACCAGAAGTGGCGCTGTAGCTCAAGTGGTAGAGCGCTCGCCTTGAGCTGAAGAGCTGAGGGACAGGCCCAGGCCCAGAGTTCAAGCCCCACGACCGACAAAAAAAAAAAAAATAATTAAGTTGTTGCTAGACACCATGGATCATGCATATAATTTCAGCTACTCAGTGGACTGCAGTTCAAAGCCAGCCTGGGCAGGAAAGTCCATGACTCTTATCTCCAATTAACCACCAAAAAGCTGGAAGGGGAGTTGTGACTCAATTGGTAAAGTGCTAGGCTTAAGCAAAAGAAGCTCAGGGACAGTGCCTAGGACCTGAGGTCAAGCTCCAGGACTAACACACACAAAAAAAGAATGAAGTTGTAAACCAAGCATGATGATTCATATCTGTAATCCCAGCCAAGAGGCTATATTAGGAGGATCCAGGGTCCCAGGCCAGCCTGGGCATCCTAGCAAGACTATGACTCAATGAAGAAATAAAGGGAATAAAAGATAAAGAAGGCCAGGCACTGGTGGCACAAGCACAAGCCTGTAAACCTAGCTACTCAGGACGCTGAGATCTGAGGATCACAGTTTGAAGTGGACCCTGAGATGGAGCCCAAGCTGATAAGATTCCATTTTGAACTTTGGGATTTTTAGATTCTATGGGCCTAGTTCCCAGAATGAAAAAAAATGCATCTGGTCACCCTCCCCTTAACAACCTAACCCACCTTTGATTGTTCGGTGAAGGATTGACTGATAAAACAGATAGATTGTAATCTGGTTCAAACGGGCGAGTGCACCCCCTTGCAGTAAACTCTGCCTTTTGCGAATACTTACCTTAAACTCCGCCTTTGCACGTGCTTACTGCAAACTCTGCCTTACGCGATGAATTTGTGCGCCATTTAAACCAAAAGTTATAAGGCTGGTTTAAACAGTCATTATGAGACAAATTGTAACTCATTGACCACCTGTGTGTGGTCTGGTATGACTGTACATTCCTTTGTGTGTGTTACAATCTCATTGGTCACCTGCTTGTGATCAGGCTCGACCTCATGAATTTTGCCTTTAAAAACCAAAGTACTTGGGCCACTGGGGGTCACAGTATCAGCTCCCCAGCCTGTGCTGGGGTCCTGACCAGTCAGTGTAGGAACCTTCTCAATAAAATTGCTTCTTTGTTAACAACAACTTTGTTGTGGTGGGCTCTGTCACTCCAGGCGATTAAGTGGGCTTGTCTGCCTGAGTAGGGGGTCTTCCTACTACAGGTTCAAAGCCAGATCAGGCAGGAATGTCTGTGAGACTCTTATCTCCAATTAACCACCAGAAAACCAGAAGCAGCACTGTGGCTTACGTAGTAGAGTGCTTGCCTTGAACTGAAGAGCTGAGGGACAGCACCCAGGCCCTAGAGTTCAAGCCCCACGACCAACACAGAGAGAGAGAAAGAGAGAGAGAGAGCAAGAGAGAGAATGCTAAGGTAAATAAATCATACATAAAGAGACATTTTATGTAATTCTATTTATATTGAATTAATAGAATAAATGAATTCACAGGCAGAAAACAGGCTTATAAACTCGGCAAAGTGGCTCACACTTGTAATCCTAGCTACTCAAACTGAGATCTGAGGATTATGGATCAAAGCCAGCCCAGGCAGGGTAGTTCAGAAGACTCTATCTCTAATTAACCTAAAAAAAAGGCAGAAGTGGCGTTACACCTCAAGTGGTAGAGCACTAGCCTGAGCAAAAGCAGCTCAAGCACATTGCCGAGGTCCTAAATTCAAGCCCCAGGACTGGCACAAAAAAGAGAAGAAAGAAAACAGGCTTATACTGCTTACCAGGGATTAGGAGAAAGCAGAAATGGAAAACTATTGTGTGATGAAAGCTGGAATATGTAAAGAAATCAATGTTCTAACCCAATTAGCCATTGATTACCAAGGACAAAAACATAGTCTAATGAAGTCAGGTTATAGACACAGATGATCAGTAGAAGAACTCTGAGGTGTCCCACTAAATACAAAGAAAGAAAGTTATTACAGGCTCTGAAAGTGGGGTGGAAAATAGGTGAAATTTATGTTTTGTTTTGCTTGGCTCTCATTGCATAGCCCAGGCTGGCCTCCCAAATGCTGGGATTACATGTACTACTATACCCTGCTTGCTTTTTTTTCTCACGTTTTCATTAATTTTTTTTCATTTAGTAAATTTTGTAATTTTGCTATGTAATGTCTTTACACATTGAAGTCCCACAACTAGACCAAAGTTAAACTTGGATATAAAATTCATTACTTAGCTCCAGACAAGTTTCTGTAATCCTTAACCAGCTTCAGTTTCATATAAAAACAAGCAGCAGTAAGTGGCGCCCTCTAGAGCTGATACTCTTGTTTAGGCCCTGGATGCCAGGATCCTTTGCCCAGCACTGGCTATGACTTCTGTATCTTGGATGTCAGGATCCATAGTGCTTGAGAGTTGTAGCCAGTGTTCCAGCTTCCCCTTGCCCTGCCCCCGCCTCCCCCAGAGACAGAGGCTCACAGTCTTTGTCATTCCTGGTTTCTCATCACTTACCACTATGCTGCCAGCATGGTGATTGTTGCCACTTCCATTTCCATCACTGCCTTTTATTGGGGTCTATGTCAGGATTCTATTGCTACTGTTGCAGCAAGCAGCTGTGGTTGTCTGGTAGCTTCCTCAAGTAATTAAGAATATTCCAAGCAGCCAGTTCTGGCATGAGGGTAGTCCTACAGGATGCTTGCCTGATAGTCTTTCCAAAGCAGCCAGAGAACCAGGAAATGGTCTAACTGTCCATTATGAAGTCAAATCATACCAGCCCCCAACATCATAGCTTATTTAAAGGAAAATTACAGCTTGCCATTCATATTAACAGTAGTTTTTAACAATGCTCTGACAATGTTTGACTCTTGCTCCAGAGTTCCTAGGGGAGATGAGTCTCTACCATCTGTTTCCATTATGACATTTTATAGCTGCAGTATGTCCTTGGGAAGAATACTATTTCCTGCTAATTTTACAACTGACTTTCTCTGTGTCTGTTATTCCAGACTAATGAACAGCAAGGGAGATGTTTATAGTCCAAACCAATTTTTTTAGGTTTCAGGAGACAAACAATGGAGAAAGAATCTACAACAACTAATGAGTTGTGAGTTGACAGAAGAAACTGAAGTATGAATGTTGTAAAACAAGGGGGTGTTATTGTTAATGTTGAAAATAGAAATGTCTAGTTTACTGAGCTGTCCAATATGGTAGCCCTATCCACAGGTAGCCATTTAAATTAATTTTAAATGTTTAAATTAAAATTTAAAATGCATCCAATTAAGTAGGAACTTACACAGGACAGGCAAGTGTTCTTCCACTGAGCTACATGTCTACCTCTTAGCTTTGTGTGTGTGTGTGTCCTCGTACTGGGCCTTGAACTCAGGTTCTCAGGCTCTCATTTGGCTTTTCAACTCAAGGTTGGTGCATTACCACTTGAGCCACATCTCCACATTTTGCTTTTTGGTGGTTATTTGGAGATGAAAGTTTCATAGGCATTTCTTCCCAGGCTGCTTCAAGCCTCCTGAGTCCTAGGACTATAGGCCTGAGACACCAGTATGTGGCAACCCCTTAGCTTTTTTTTTGTGTGTGTGTGCCAGTCCTTGAACTCAGGGCTTTGGCACTATCCCTGAGCTTTTTTGCTCAAGGCTTTTTTTGCTCCACTACTTGAGCCACAACTCCACTTCTGGCTTTCTGATAGGAGTCTCACAGACTTTCCTGCTGAGGCTGATTTCTAACCTTGGTCCTCAGATCTCAACCTCCTGAGTAGCTAGGATTACAGGTGTGAGCAACCTGGGCCTGGCAAAACTCCTTGGCTTTTAAGTAGCCCAGGCTAGCCTCCCACTCTCCTTCCTCCTACGTTCACCTCCCTGCTAGTACAGGTGTGCAATGATATGCTGAGTTAAAAAAATAAAAATAAGCCGGGCGCTGGTGGCTCACGCCTATAATC